TTTTGGTCAAAAACTAAGATCTCCTTAAAACGGAAGCGTGAGCATATTGACATGGGCATCCCTTCAAATTTGATCTGGAAGGGTATAAGAAAACTGTGTGCCAAATTTCATGCTTTTATCACCCTTGTTACGATCATTAAACCACCTGACTAAAGCCTGGTTCTCATATCCCGCCGACCTACCTGCGACGTAGTCGCCGGTTGGAACTGACAACGTTCGGCGATCTATTCCAGTGGGTCCCCGGCGCATCTGCGAAATGTAAATCGAATTGCGCAATTTTCAACCATTTTACTTGTAAATATGGATCGAATCGTCTTACTGGAGTACGTTGCACCCCCAGATGATGTTCACATAAAACATTTTCATCGCCGACAACCACCGGCCTGCCTGCGAAGTTGAACTCAGCTCAACTTCGCTGGCAAGCCGGCGGTCAATGCCTAGGAGCCTGGGATAGATTATGAATCGGCGATTGATGTTCACACACGCCGTAACGGTGTGCCAGGCCATGCCGGCGTAACGGTGTCCCAGGTATTTTGGTGGCATATGAGAACCAGGCTTAATGTGCCCAATCCGAGCCCATGCCTCATAATCTTTGAGTGTGTTCGGTTGTGTAGGGAAGGCAAATTAAGGAAAATGAGAAAAGGTCGAAAAGAGAACTCATACAAAGTACAGTCTCATTAATTTTATTTAAATTGCTTGTCTCGGTCATTTTAACCTAAACATGCTTCTTGAGCAGTTCACTGTAATTTCGTTTTCAATAAAAGATCGTTATCTTTTGTTACATTTACGATAATTATAGACTGCGTCATGTTTCAATCTTTCCCCAATTGAGCCTGTGGCTGTAGCGAGTCACAACCACATTGCAGGTAAACAGTGTTCAAGCAAGTTCAAGTTAAAACATCTACAGATTTGGTCGAGCCATAACAGCCTACACATAGCTGTAATCACCCTGGTCTGCAAATGTATGGCATGAATTGTGTCACGTGATATCATAGGTTCTACATGAAATTATGCAATGGTTTCTTGAACGACTGAAAACGATTAAAAATGATATCGAAAGAATGAGGCATCAAAATTCAATACATTGCAAGGGCTTTCTTGAGATACTTGAAATTATGACAAATGCAAGCTGAATGGAGAAAGGTAATTTCTTTGTGAAAGATGAAATGTTCAACATGCCGCGAATGTGGGACAAAGAAAGATCTGAGCTCCAGAAGGGATTCAAGCGTATGACCTGAGTCTGACCTCCCAGACGCCAGTCAGGTGCTCAAACCACTGAGCTATATTGAGAATCGGGTGCACTCGGCCATTTACTAGGTTCTAATATGTAGCTATCATCCTGCGTACTGCTAGGATCAGCAATATTGAAAAAGTCTTTTGGATGTTGGAGACATTCAAAGAAGATCTGTCTGGCTTTGCATTATTTACTGTGACATGTCAACTCTAGAGACACGCACCTCCCCTCCCTCCCTCCCACAATCTTTGCCCCGGTATGATGGGTATGGCTACCAGCAGATTAAAACATGGACAAAGATTTAAAATGCCAAGTTACCAAGTCAATAACAAGCATGTCAAGAATTACCACGGTACTAACACAATTGCAACACCGTTGTCGATGGAGTTGAGGTGTGATCATTTTGTTGAATTCCATGCAATGATACTGTGATCAAAAAATGCAATGGCGTGTGTTCAGATGAATCCAACATCAAATGACCCTTGAGGAGCTTCCACGTCCAAAATATCACCAACAAAACCCGTTTGTTGTTGGTCGTCATCTGGTTCAGTCACCTCATTATCTTCTCTACACTCTGGTTCTTTTCCTGGTTCCAGATGTCTTTTCTTTCCTATCAATGAGCAACATATGGCCTTAAATATTATATGGGAATTGGCATTTACCAGTGAAGTCTTGAGAGACTAGTTAGCTTTGGAACAAAGACAGTACATTACTTATTGTTACCCACAATCCTTAAGCATGGTCATGGTTATCTATTTCCTCGAAAACCAACCATTTTGATATTTCTTACACATTTGGCTAGGAGGAGTTTTCTCTGATCCTCAAATCAATCCAACACATTTACAGTGAAAATAATCTCCCATTCACAGAGAAAATAAATATTCTCGATTAAGTGTACAAATGGTAAAGCTAGATGGCAAAAATTGAAGTTTTGTGCGGTAAACATCACTATTAACCTCTACATGATCTCCTACAACAAACTTTATAACTACATACAGTCCAGAACAAGGATAAAATGTTAACAGCCTCTCTACTTTCTCAGATCAAGGAACTTAATAAAGCGGCACAAAAAAAAAGAAAAAAATGGAGGCGAGTGCAAATGGGGAGGGAGAAGGAGAGGGTGGAGGGGATGGATAAGAAAAATGTCATCCTATCTTTCCTCTGTCTCACACCTCCAGTGTCTTCACCATATGCACTCCCTTTGACTGAGGTTCTTTTGTAT